AGAGAGAGAGAGAGAGAGAGAGAGAGAGAGAGAGAGAGAGAGGGAGAGAGAGAGAGAGAGAGATAGAGAGAGAGAGAAAGAGAGAGAGAGAGAGCGAGGCGCATGAGGCCCGACGGCCGCTCGCGTGAATGCGCGTTCACGAGTGTGAACGGCCGTTCACGCCGGTGAACGAAGGCGCGCGGCCGTTCACCCATGTGAACATGCTACATGAACGACCGTGAACGGCCTGCGTGAACGCGGCCCCCCGCGGCGGTGGATGTGCGCCGATTTCCGGTGCAGGCCCGACAGGGACTGGCAACCCCGCAGCTGCACGACCCCACACCTGTGGCATTTCAGGGGCACGCGGTGATGGAGCAGCGGTGAGCGGCGGACGGCATTTGAGGGGGATGAGCAACGGACGGATGTAATGGGCTGTGATCTGAGGTCGGACGACATTTGAGGGTGGGTGGGTGTGTGGGGGTGAGGGACGTGCTTGGGGGGGGGGGTGACCCGGGGGGTGACTTGGCCACCTCGCCGGGTGTGGGACCAGGATTTGGGGTGCCCGTGGCAGCGGTAGGTGGTCTTGACGCCCGTGCCGGAGGCCAGCAAACGGCAAAATGGCTAGGAGGAAGAGAAAGGGTGAAGGCGAGGGCTCTAAGGAGCCCTTCAAGCCCGTCAGCGAGGAGGAGCAGCGCGAGGCAATTGGCCGGTGTTGTATTTACAAGTACCTCACGAAGGGTCACACGCTAGAGAGTTGCAAAGGCAACTTCAAGATGAAGTGCAATTTTTGCGATAAACCCCCTTTTCAGGGCAGTCAGATGCGCGGGGCCGAGCACTTCACGAAGGGGAGGTGCCCGAGGGTGACACTTGAGATACTTGTCGACATTTGGAATTGGACAGAGTACCCTTTCGACCAGCGGCGAGAGAGACAGGTGCGGGATTACATGGAGTACCGAGGCATCGCGAATAGGAGAGAAGTAGGAGTTGAAGGGGCGGAGGACGACGAGGTACAGAATGTTTTGGACAAGGATGGGGCGGACGTAGAGGGAGGAGAGCGGGACGACGAGGACGATGAGGTGGGCACAGGTGTGGGGCGTGCTTGCTGTGGGCCACATGGCGAGGGAGCAGAGGGGGTCGGCGATGAGGACGATGTGCAAGACTTAGGAGCATCCCTGCAGGGGGGGGAGTGAAGGCGGGACGCAGAACTCATCAGACGATGTCACATGCGGCTATGGATGACTATGGGAAGCGGAGGGCAGACAGTAATCTTGCAGCAAGCGTTCTGGAGCAGAAACGCATGAAGCAGGTCAGGATGGACCAGGTGTACGATCCGGAGTGGCAAGCCACCTTCGACCATTTGTTCCTGCAGTGGTGGTATATTGGCGGTGTCCCATTTGAGAGGGCTAGGATGGCTGAGTACAGGGCCCTCTCACATCATCTACTGAAAATGCCCAGGGGCATGAAGCCTGCTTTTCCCCAGTTCAAGCGCATTGCAGGCAGTGGCATAGAGGAGGAGCGTGCACACATAGCTGATAAGCTACGTGACATACGCGACCAGATGGAGCACACGGGGGCTACCATCCTCACGGATGGGAGGAAGTCTCTCAACTCTGAGCCCATTGTCAACTTCCTCGCAGCTGGACAGTCGGGCGCATTCCTTTACACGACAGTGCGCAGGGACGCGGTTGATGCAGAGACGGCGGACGTGGTCTTACGGCGGTGGAAGAAGGTGTTCGAAAAGTTCGGCGCGAAGAAGGTGAACGCGATCTGCACGGACTCGGCATCAAAACGATCCCGATCCAGATATCTGTCGTATCCCTTGGCTCCCTTGTTTTGTCCATCGCTACAACTTAATGTTGTAAGACATGGTCAAGGACAAGAAATGGGCTATCGAGTTGCTAACGAGGTCGAGGGTGGTTGTACGATTCATCAGATCTCACGGGTCAGCTCTCGCCTTGTTCAGGAAGTACAGCGCCAGGACTGATCACGACCCTGATGGAGGGGAGACGACAGGCAAGCCACGACGGGGGCGAGAGTTGTTGTACCCTTGCCAGACGTGATTCGCATCTATGTATATCATGATGGACAGGTTGCACGACCGGAGGGTTGCACTTGAGACAATGATGTTGGAGGGCGATTGGGCACGACTTCCATGGGAGAGGAGGCTACTCTCGCAGGCTGGTTGGGTGCGCACGCAGGTGCGACGCGGGTTATTTTGGGAGGAGATGGATGATCTCATCGACGTCTTCACCCCTGTCGTGCAGTTGTTGAGGATGTTGGACCAGGGGGGTTTGGTAATCGCGTGCATCTTCCGGTGGGTGACCCAGTTGGCTGAGGAGATTCGGAAGTTGGAGTTGGCAAGACCTCGCCTGGTTGGCATGCTACAAGATTGTTACGCTCGGGCATGCCATTTGTTGGAGCCCGCCCATGCTGCCGCCCATCTTCTAAATCCGAAGAGGCGGAACTTCGTTTACTTCACAGCGATCAAAAGAAGAAGGTGGCGGAGATGACACTCGAGTACATACACACGCAGACGGGCTTTGACCGGCAGGGAAAGCTGTATAGGTTGGTCCGCCAGCAGTTGTACGACTTCCACAGGCGCAGTCCGATGTATGATTGGGGTGGAGATGCAGGTACTGGGGATGAGGACACGTGCGAGGGGCCGGAAGAGATACAGGCCATTGCTGATCGGTGGGTTTTACACGGCGGGTGTGCCCCTGAGCTTTGCACCATCGCCACACGTCTGATGTACACATGGGTCTGTGCCTCTCCTGCGGAGAGGAACTGGGCGCTGCATGAGCGTATTCACGAGAAGCGCCGCAACGGGTTGGACTTCAAGTAGCTGACAGACATGGTGAAGATGTGCGCCAACAAGAAGCTCCTGACGTGTAGAGCGAGGAGGAGGGGACTTGTTTTGCCGTGGGGTGATCTCGAGGAGGGGTTGGACGACGTCCCAGAGCCTCGCAGATCAGGCACTTTACTGTCGGGATCACTGACGGATGACAAGATCAGACGGCAGGCGTGCAAGATGCAGCGTGCCTCGACGGTCCACCACCCCCCTTCGGTTCAGACTGTTTTCGGTCGTCGTGCGGCTCATATCGAGTTGTACGACGACGAGATCGAGTACGATCCGCCCACCGATCCGCAGGCCGCAGATGAGATGGAGGTAGAGCCGTGGACGGACCCGGAGGACTTGGAGCAGGGAGGCAGTGATGCACCTGACGCCGGTGAGGACTCCGGTGAGGAGAGTGATCATGTGGCCGGCAGTGATATGCGGTCATGCGATCAGCAGAGCCATTGTGAGGTCGATCGCCTTACCCGTCCGTTGACGAGAGCAGAGAGGATGGCGGCGAGAGGCCATAACCAGTCACAGGTTGTACCATCTTCGAGCGAGGATGACGGAGGTGACGACGGAGATGCTGCTGATGACGAGGGGGACGACGACGATTATATGGGGTATGGAGAGCACCCCGGACCTGCAGACCAGCATGGGTTCGACCACGGCGACGGTGGTGGGGCATTTGACAGCCGGCCAGTCACTGATTCCTTTCTTCGTACTGGCACCGGCGTAGTGTGCAGAGAGCATGGCGGCGAGCAGGGATTTGGTTTGGCTGTGCCAGAGGGATCGATTCCCTCGGTCATATTCTGGACAGACTTCGACGTCGGCAGTACTCCCACTTCGGAGGCGAGGCACGGCGGGGTGCACGTTCGGACACCGGTGAGCGATGTGGCACACCACATAGGGGTGGTTTTTGGTGGAGCGAGTCCGGGGATGTTGGCAGAGGCTGTTAGACCGATAGGCAAGAGAGAGGAGAGCAGACGTGGCGACGGGGACGGCTATATGCCTCTGTCGCCGGTTCGAGGTGTTGCCATACGGCTAGACATGGAGCCTGTGGACGCACTTGAGGAGGAGCGGTTGAGGTTGATGGTAGCAGGGTGTGTCATGACGCAGCGGCTTGCGTTGGAGCAGGACATGGCCAGGGCGAGGGAGATGGGGTGTACAGTGGAGGAGGTCACTGCCGCCAGAGTAGCACGAGAGTGTACACACGGTGGTCCTGTGGGTGTTGGGGATGGTGAAGGAGTCCGCGTGGAGGGACACGAGGACGAGGAGAACGTCTTCACCCCTGCGTTGGATCAGACAGGTGGCGACGACGTCACTGCGGACGGTGTGACAGGGGCGGACGGTGTTGCCACTGCGGACGGTGTAGCCACTGCGGACGGTGTTGCCACTGCGGACGATGTGGTCACTGCGGACGGTGTGACAGGGGCGGACGGTGTTGCCACTGCGGACGGTGTTGCCACTGTGGACAGTGTGGGCACTGCGGACGTAGGAGGGTTGCTTGGGAGCGATCCCACTGAGGTTGAGGGGCAGGTGGATACAGTACTTCATGACGTTGCCGCAGTTGATGGTAGCAGGGTAGCAGATCACACTCAGGATGGTCTTGTCGCGATGGATGATGTGGTTAGAGGTTGTATTCAGGACGAGCGACAGATGGATGGGGTAGTTCTCGCTGCTGCCATTGACGCACGCGCGTCCGGCATGTCCACACTCGAGCGCCACAGTGTCGGGATTGATCCGGTGGTGGGCAGGAGCAGGCATATATCTGAGCGGCTTTGGAAGGCTGTGCCTTCATCTTCTTTCGTGCCTGTTAGTCTGGCAGCACCTTCGGGGTTATCGGGGGATATTGGGAGGTCTATGGAGATGGCTGACCTGTTCGAGCAATTGACAGGTCATAGGGTTATCGAGCCGGGAGGGGTGTCATGTGGAGAAGGCTCAGCAGGTTCAGTTCCTGCGGGGACACGACCGACATGCACAGGGGCGGTGAGTGGACGAGGAGGCGAGTCTGGTGGCAGTGTTGTTGGTGGGGAAGGTGGCCGCACCGTTATCGGCGGACGGTCAGGCCTTTCAGGTGGGAGTGTTGGTGGGGGAGGGCGCGACCATGTGCAGGGTTCTCCTTCGCCTTTATCGAAGATGAAGGGGAAGTCTGTTTCGTGGAGCGGGATCAACAGGGTCACCCGCAAACTCAAGGATTGTATGCCTGGGGTTACGGGTGAGAGGACGGATCGTGGCGGGAGGTTGTGAGAGATGTTTGCAGACGCAGTGGGCTGGGTACGGAAGGGAGACAGGTGGGAGCATCCTGGTGTTGGATCATCATGTGCCGCCGAGGGACGGGGTAGGACGATGGTTGCACCGTCGTCACGACCGCCTGAAGCAGGGGCGACACATCGCGATGGGCAGCGTCGTCCCAGAGGGCGATCGTCCAGACGTCCTTCGTCCACTGTCTGGCTTCCCCCCGTATTGGCAGAGGACGTTACTCATCGGGCCACATTGGAGAGCAGTCGTGGAGGTTGTCTGTCGACTGAGAACGTTATACCTAGGGAGGAGACGCGGCGTCAGACAGCGACAGGACAAGGTAGTCGGCGTGCCGCTGGGGGCCGCACGGAGGATTCCGACACGAATGGGGTGCCCATGCATAAGGGTACGAAGACGTACAACACCCTGACTGACATTTTGGGACGTATTGCTGCACAGAGTGCAGAGAGAGAGACAGAGCGTCAGGTGGTCGGGAGGATGGCAGCCATAGGAGTTGACAGTCACGCCGTGTCTGCACCACCATATTCAGGGGAGAGAGACGAGACAGCAGCGGCGGTCCCGCAAAGGCGGCGAGAGCACATCATAGACAATGACGACACAAACGATGGGCAGTGCAACGTGCCTTAGACCGGGACTTCGCTGTCGCAGGGATGATGTTCGTGTATGTCTTTCTTCATTTTGTATTTTACAACTTGATTTGTCCTTCTTCTTTTATTTATTTATTTTTTTCTGAGTCTTTTTTGGTTATTTTTCTTCATGATTTTGACGGTGCTGTGGGGTACCCTGGCTTCCACAACGATGTTCACTGCTTAATTACTTTTATTGACAATGTTCACTTTTTTTTCTCACTTTCGGTTTTGTGTTAGTGTATTTCGGTTTGTTCGACTGTCTCAAACTCTTAGTTGTGTTTTGATGATTGCAATTTTATATTTTTCATGGTTATATGTGATTTTGGCGGGGACGAGGGTCAGTTGGGTCCTCCTGGGG